GGTTTCAGAGGAGAAGTTTAGTATGTTGCCTAGAGATTATTCTTGGGATATTTTGGTGAAGATTGTGGCTGAATTTTGCTCTTGTCCAAAGCATCTACCTGAGGCTAAAGTGAAGAGATTTGGATTAATTCCATTGGCGGAGGAAATCTCAAAAAAGCCCAGTATTGACTCTGTTGTGTGGTTATTACTTTTATACAGATTTATAATAAATAAAAAAGGAGCAAACTGAGCAAGGAAAATTACAAAATGTACAATTTGAAGAGGAAAGGAGCACTAGGAAGTGGATTGGAGATAAATTGGTGTTGAAGGAGATAAACAGATTAAGAAATGGAATAAAGGGAGTGACAACCTCAGGACAAGATCCCATACAGCTAAGCTTCCAAATTTTGAAAAAAGATTAAAGGAAGCTCAGAGCCCTGTGTGGTTGAGTACACTTTAATCCCAGCACTCTAGAGGTGGAGGCTGGAGGGTATTTAAATTCAAGGCCAGTCTGGTGTGCAGAGTGAGTTCTAGGACAGGCAAACTTAAGCAGTGCAGGAAGCTATGGAAAACAGAAAGCTAATGAAGATGCAATTGAACGAGGGGGCCATGTTCCAGCCCAGGAAGCAGCAGAGCTTGGCAACTTCAGCCTTATGATTCTGGCTTTGGAGTCGAGGATACAAGAAAGGGGTAATGGAAAGATGCTGAAGTCAGGTGTGTGGTAGGGGTGTCCTTGCACGGAGACCAAGAGAAGCCATTGTGTAAAACTGCGAAGGTGGAACCTGGATCGCCTTGAAGACCCCAAGATACTTGAGATGCCAGAGTCGTGGCGTCCCTGCCAAGGAAAGCTGCTAGCAGGAGTGGATGCAGCTCAAGAGAGAAGTGTGTTGCACTCAACAAATATGAAATTAGTTGAAGATATGAAGAGTGTTTTGACATGGAGATGCATAGTTTTGAGTTTGCCCAGATGGTTTTCAGTCTTGCTTTGGTCCAGTATCTCCTCACTGTGCTCCCTTTTCTCCATTTGGAACAGTGATGTATCTCTCGTGCCATTGTGTGTTAGAAGTTTGTGATCTGCGTTTTGATTTTGCAGGGGTTTATAGTTAAGAGAGTGCATGAATCTCAGAAGAGACTTTGAACTTCGAAATGTTTCATAACAGGCTGTCCATATAGAAAATTGAGCACTTAAGATTTGTCTAGTAAATTAATTTAAATTTAAGGTGTGGGTCTGGAAAGCATGACACACAGAGACACTTGCATGTAAGCTTGGTGATGTGGGTTCAATCCCAGAATCCCTGTAAGTTTTGCACGGGTAAGCACAGCTGCTGTGAGTTTATGAGTTCCATGACACTGTCGTGCCTAGAAGAGAGCATTTGATAGCACTCTTCCCCATCCACAGCTCGTACATCTTTTATTCCTCTCCTTCTGTCTCTGAGCCTTTGAGGGATAATAAATGTCATGTTTGGGGTTGAGCACTCAACAGTTAATTATTCTCAATACTTTGAGGAGTTGTGAGTCTCTGCAGGTAACTCTTACCCACTATAAAGAGAATCTTCCCTGGAAAGGATTTTTTTGGCTAGTGTGTGAAAGATTGGAGGTTGGGTATGTTCAGAGGGATGGTGTCAGAGATGGACTAGAAATTGATTTATAGAAGACTCTTTTTAGGAGAGTCAGTAAATATACCACTTTTCTTTTTAAGAGCCATGATTATATATGTATGCAACTTTTTAGTAGTGAGCAATACAGATAACTCTTTCATCTTGAAGTATAGCAAGGAAGATAAAATATAATAATAAATTTTAAATGTGGTATGTGTTATTAGAGAAATTGTATAGTACAGACCGACTTACATAAGCCCTTACACCAAAACATTCAGTCTTGCTTGGGAAAATGCCTCACTTTGTAGAATAACTGGAAGTAAAAGTCCATGTACTTAGCTGCATGACCTAATGTTTAGTTAGACAAATCTGTCGAGGGGGGGGGAGAGAAGGGCAGAGGGAAAGGATGGGAGAAAAAGGTGGGGGAGGGGGGGAAAGGTGGAAATGGCGGGATGAGAAGGGGAGAGAGAATGTGAGCCTGGCTTCTTTTTGTAATTTTATTTGCCCCTCAAGCATGATGGCTCCTCTGACAGACCCGGATGTCCTGTAAACCTGTTGTAATCACTGCTTTCAGGGGGAGCAGGGTTGCTTATTGATATTTTTGGTGGGATCTCTTGTAGCACAGGCTGACACCCCACACACAAGAATTAAATTAGCTTACATTAAAATAGCAGCAACAGCTAACTTTTAACTTTATGTGGGCAAAGACGGCCTTGAAACTCGGATTCTCTTGAGTCTACCTGAGCTCTGGGGTCACAAGCTTGTGTCAGCACTCCAGTTCTATGTGGTGCCGAGAAGGGTGAAGGGTGTGTGCTGAGCAAGCCAGTGAATAGCCGAGCTCCCGTTCCTTGTCCTTCTGAGGGTTTTTGTTTTTTTCACGACAGTTTCTCTGTGTATCCTTGGTTGTCTTGGAACTAGCTCTTGTAGATCAGGCTGGCCTCAAACTCGCAGAGATCCAACTGCCTTTGCTTCCCAGGTGCTGAGATTAAAGGCGTGTGCCACCACTGCCCTGCCTTCTATAGAGATGATTGATCATCACCTTCCAGGACAGTTTGTTTCTTCTTTTGTACACTTTTTGCTTAGTTTTTTGTTTGTTTGCCTTACTGCATTAGTGAGGACTTCTAATCCCATGCCGAAAGGTCCAAGAGAGTGACTCATTGCCTTCCTTCTCAGCTCAGTAGAGAGATCTCCATGTTTCTAATCATTAATTACGGTAGCTAGAGGGGTTGTCTGAAGACACTCTTTATCAAGTTGAAGTGTTCCCCTTTATTCCTAGTGTAGTGAGAGTGTTTATGACTGTGTATTGGATTTTGTCTAGACTTTTTCTGCAGCTGTTGACATGGCCATGTGGTTTTCTTCTATTGATTTGACGGGTTACATTAATTGATCTCTGTATGTTGACTCTGTTACACCACACTTGGTTGTGGGGCATAATTCATTTTATATGTTGTTGGATTTAGTTTACTGCTATTTTATCATAGAAACTTGAGTCTGTATTCACTAAGATCTGGTCTTTAGTTCTCTGCTTGCTCTCATGTCCTGTGTGGTTTGTCCTTAAGGTAATGATGCCCTCATAGGACAAATTGAGAAGTAGTTCTTTCCTTTCCAACTTCTGAGAGAAATTGCGGGAAATTTGAATAATTTCTTTCTAAAATGTTTGGTGAAATTTGCCAGTGCATTTATCTGTGTTTGATGCTTTCTCTCTTGGAAGGATCTTAATTATTAATTTTTGTCTGATTATCTAAATGACTCTCAAAAGCCAGTGAGTAATGACGACTGTACAGGTGAAGAACAAACTTAGTGCTTGTGTGAAGTCCTTTCCCTCACTGAAGACATGGTTGTCCCCACTGTACAATATGAGAAAGGCAAAGGTGACAGAAGAGAAAGAAATGCTTTGTTTCCCTTTGACGTTGAAAAACGTAGAATGAAATAGATATTTTAGAATAGATTTACTAAAACTCTCAAGGGAATAATTTTATTCCCACCTATTTGTGTGTGTGCTTATGTCACAGCTTGCCCGCGAAGGTCAGAGGGCACCTTGCTGGATTCTCCAACCTAGTGGGTTTCAGGAATTGAACTCAGTGTCAGGCTTGTCAGCAGCTTCCCCCTGAGCCGTCTTGCCAGCCCAAGGGAATCTTTATGAGATAGTTCACCGTACTGTTTTCTAAACCAGAGGGGAAGTGCTTGCTGCCTCATGCTCTTAGCCCACGCATCTCTTCATGGTTATGAAGGAGACTGTATGTTAGGAGTGGCTCCTGAGTACACAGTTCATTTCTGGGCCTCTTGTTTTCCATGGCTATGGCTCTAATGAGTCAGCTGAAAAAACGTTAAAAGAAGAAACCAGGTAGGGGCCAGTGTGGATGGGGACTTTTCTGGTTACAAGCACAGTGAGACCCTACATTGATATCTGCCTGGTTTTCCCAGCTACTCTGGTGCTGACTGTGTAGGTGACTTAGTGGCTTCCAGCAAAGGAATGTGGTGCCTGCCTTGTTTCTTCTTGGCATACTTGTTGTGACTCTGCTCTGTTCAGGGCTGGGCGCTTTTGAGCTGCTAGGACAGTGGTTCTCAATCTGTGGGTTGACCCAGGGCCTCATGGGAGCAGCATTTAAGTTGTAATTCAGAGCACCATATTAAAGTTCTGTTACAAATGTAGTTGTATAATTGAAGGTATGTACCACTAAATGATTGATAATCCTTGAGTAGTGTGTAAAACTCATTCATAATTCAGGGTGTAGGTTGGTAAATGTAGTCACATCAAATTAATATTTCTTTGTAATTTGCTCTCACAAATAGAAACATTGTACTTTGCACCAACATCTATCATACATCCCATATTCAAATTAAAAAGGACTAGAAAACACCAGTTTGTATTTACAGGTCTCTAACAAAGCTTGTCTGGAAACAATTGTAAGAATAAGAAAAACTCTCACAGCATCTTGTGTTCAGCTTTCAAGCAGATGCTGCCGAAGACTCCTGGAGCATGAATCCTATCAGAGAAAGAAGAGGGGGTGAAGATAAACCCCATTTGTTTAGCATTATTCTATGACACAGATTAACGTTTGCACTGACATTTGTGATGAAATCACGCTCTAGGTTCTGGGAGTGAGTTCAGTGTGGCCTCCTTGGACACGCGTAGAAGCCAGGACCTGATAGCACTGTCTTGGTCCTCTGCCTGTTGTCCTTGCCTTTGCTGAGGCTCAGAGAGTCAGTCTGCTGCCTCCTCTAGCGGCCTGTGAGAAGGAAAGGGAGGAAGAGGAATGAGGAGTATGGAGTGAGCTTCCACTTTGGTCTTGAACTCATTCTGCACACTGTGGGTGTACAGCAGATTGGTTTTATGAATTTTCCTCCTTAAGTCCCTGTTAAACTTAACTCTTATCTTTTTGATGGCTTTCATGTTTATAAATATTTTTTTCTCATATTTAGGAGTCTCCAAAAAATGTAGAATCCTTTGCTTCCATGCTGAGACACTCTCCGCTGACAGAGATGGGGCCTGCCAAGGACAAACTGGTCACTGGGCGGATCTTTCACATTGTGGAGGATGATCTCTACATAGATTTCGGTGGCAAGTTTCACTGTGTTTGTAAAAGACCGGACGTGGATGGCGAGTAAGTAGAATCATTTCCAAGTGACCATCAGTAATTGCTTGTTCTGCAGTCTTAAGGACCAAAGTTCCAACCCTGGAACCCCCACAGAAGGCCAGGTGTGGAACATGCACTTGTAATCCCAGTGCTGGGAGGCAGGCTCAATGCCCTGCCAGTATAGTCTACCTGGGAGCTGGAGGCCAGTGAAAGACCCTGGCCTTTTCTATCAAAAGAGAATACATGATGGACAGTGCCTAAGATATGACATCCAGGATTGAGATGTTGACTTCTGGTCTCCATACTCTTGTAAATGCATATCTTCCCTACACATAGCTATAAAGGTTGATGTACTGCAAAGGCTTTGTTTTTTGAAAGTTTCATACGCACGTGATACATTTTGCTTACTCTTTCTCCCCGCTCTCTCTTATCTCCCTCCTGTTGAACACATTCTCCTTCTACCAGACCATTTTCAGGTTCATGACTTTAGTTTTGTCATGTGACTCATTTAGTTTAACCAGGACCATCTGTGTGACCGCTGAATTCGAAGTACACACTGGAACTTGGGAAAGTCACCAGTGGGTACAGACTGCAAACAGTGGCTTCCCCTCCCTCAGTCTGTTACGATAGCTCAGCCTCTGTTCACGCCCTTGCTTGCCTGTGGATGAGCTCATTTGCAGATCTAATACAGGCACTGCAGCGCCAGTGAGCACTTGATTACAGTCCCTGTCTGGGTCTTGCCTGGAACATGGTACTTCGCAACTCTTCCTCCTGTCTTATGGCTCTCACAGTTTTCTGCCCCCTCTTCTGAAGGGTCCTTTGAGCCGTCGAGGGGATGCTCTAAGTGTCTCTTTAGGAGCGTGCAGTCAATCATCACTTCTGCAGCCGTTAGTCTCTGCATTCCGCAGGTATACAGTGTGGTCATGCTCATGGGAGTCAGAAATAGGGTTCCTGGAGGAAACTGCCTTCTGCACTCGTTAAATCAACAAGCCCTGGGTTTAATTGAGATTCCGCCTCAATTGATAATGTGGAACATGATCAAGGAAAGCACCCAGTGTCAATGTATAGACCGACACATTCAAACACATACACACCCCACACATATGCATACAAATAGAAAAGAGGTTGTGCCTGCTGTGGTGGCATATGCTTTTAATCCTAGTTCTTGGAGGCAGAGACTGGTAGATCTTTTATGAGTTCTAGGCCAGTCTGGTCTCCATAGAGAAGTGGGGCTTCCTTTGCTTCCTGGAGTGGGAAGCAATGGCTCAGGCAAATGCTAAACACATTCAAACCCAGTCCAAAGTAGTAAGACCTAAAGAAACTCCATCTTGGGCATATGCAGTCCAGATTTCAGCACTGTACTATGTGTGTGTGGTACATAGCGTGGCTGAAGGGGTTGGTCTACATGTAAGTATTTAGAACATGGATGGTATCTGGGAGGCAGATGTTTCTGTTATTTGGTTATTGAAATCCTATGGAGGGCAGATGTGGATGTAGGCTTTTCTAAAGCTGTTCCTCAGGCATGTTAAACCTATCTGTAGATAAAACCATTAGTAGACAGTTTCCTACCCGGTCAGATTTATTCTAACTTTCAGATACCTGAGATCCTTTGCTTTTCCTTTGAGGCACAGTCTTGTTCTGTTGCCCTCACTGACTGGAACTTGGGCAGTCGTGCTTCTGTGTCCCTCCTGAATACTCGGGTTGTAGATGGAAACCACTACACTTGGCACTTTCTTTCTAAGGATGGGATTTTGTTAATATTTTTCATAGATAATTCTTTATGAATACTGGTTGGTCTTTTTCATTTAGTTAAAATTTTATAACATCTGTTTTGTCATTATGTCATTTTTTTCTTGAACACAATATTTTACAGTGCCTTCAGAATGTCTTGAATAGAAAATTTCAGAATTACAGATTTGATTCTTAATTCCTTATTTGCCAAATTACAAATTTTTAAATGTCAATATTTGAGATTAGATATTCTCTTATGTGGATTATGGTATGTATCGAATATTCTTTATAGTGTAGCTTTAAATGGTTAAATGCTAGAATCTGTTGCGATATTTACTAAACCTTAGAATTGCATTTAAAACTATTCACACACCACTTGAGAGCACATTCTTAAAGAATGACTGCTTGTAGCCCCACCACCATCTGCCCTCCAAAGTGGAATTGACTACTTAACAAGTCTTTTAGAAGGAGAAGGGATGGGCAGTTCACAGTGCTTTTGCAAAGATCTCTAGTATTTAGAGTAGTTGCTGTTTTCATTTACCTCTTGTTCCTCCCTCCCTCCCTCCCTCCCTCCCTCCCTCCCTCCCTCCCTCCCTCTTTTTCTACCTCCCTTCCTTCTTTTTGTATTTAAGTGAGTTAAATGTGTGCATCTCTTGGTACCTCTCAGTACCTACCTCTCAGTTCCTACTTTGACAAACCATCTGTCCAGTGTCCAGAAATATCTCCTTAACTTACAAAGTACTCACAAAACTAATGCATTTATGAATGAAGATCATGAAGAGGGTTGTGCAAGGGTTGATATGCTCATTTATATATTCACCTACTCATTCACACTTACTGCATCTCAGTGTCTGGGCACTGTAGACAAGGCTAGTGACTCATATCATCCATTCATTGTCTGTCTTTGTGACGTAAAGATTCTCTCTAATGGTGGAAAGGGAATAGATAGCAAATGAGTATATAAATTAGTTTAAAATAGCAGTAACCCTACAAGGGGAAAAGGATAGTATGGAGACAAAATGCAGCTGAGTAGAAAGTACTAGTCAGAAAGGCCTGTGCTCACAGGCTGGATTGATGTCGACGTGAAATGCTGTCAGGCGACCTTTTAAAAACGATAAGCAGAAGCTGAAGCTTACACACTGTCCCCATGCTGTGGACCAGAAGTGATATAGCCAAGTGTGCCCAAGGAGTAGTTCAGTTCAGATACAATTTAACCTGGAGGGTTTGATTCTTTTCTTCTGCTGCCTACAGTACATAACATGGATTTAAGAGAGAAACTAAGCAGGATGTTCTTTGTCCAGCTTTTATTGTGTCATGGGGTATTTCTACTGTCTACAGAGTATTTCTTAAATGTTCTCCCTAAAATTCTTCAGTTTACTATAGGTCTTCACAGGTGCTCGTCACTGAAGCTTTGAAAGTGCTGGAGAAAAATATAAGGCCGGTGTAGTTACTGTTTCCAGCTTGTTTCATTACTATTTGAATGCAAAAACAAAATGTGTGCGTGGAAACTTCCAGAGAAATGTTGGCCTGACCTTTGTCACTGCCAGGAAGATAGTGTCACTGGAATGGACAGCAATGAGCTGGCCTGGCAGCCGCTCACCTCCATTGTCCCTGTGTGTTTAGATTATATAGCTCGCTACAGAGATCATGGATTCAAGAGATCTTTACATTCCTCTTCCATAGTGTCAGACCTCTGATGGACAGACTCTGAGTGACCGAATCGTCTGTTATGACTCATTTGAGGTCACTCTGAATAGAGCACACATATTTATTTAGCTCTCATAAGCTGCATCCTGACCTCGTCTTTTCTTCCAGTACTTTTAAGAATCATGTTTTATCTTTTCTCAGACTTCCTTCCCCAAGGCCAGGATTACACTTGGACATTACTTGTTAGGTAAATGCTTACACTAAGCTGCCTCCCCAGCCTGTCATTCAGATGTTCGTGTGGTTGAGTGCATTCTAATTTAGGGCATTTTCAGAATGGGAAGATACAGTGAATGATAACTAAAAGCTAGTAATGTAAGTTTAGGTATACATTTAATTTCTTTGTCACTGTCTTAGTAAATATGTTTAATGATATTTTAGACTTAGACAAATTGATAGGGATTGCAGACCATTTTGATTGCTTTACTATTCCCATGAGCTAAACACTCTTTAATAAGCCCCATGGTGTTTGTTTGCTTTATTTTGGCTATTGTCCTGTTTCTTTTTTCCTTTTCCCCCCATAGTTTCCTTTTTTATTGTTATTTTTATTTTATATTTTTTTTTATTGAGCTATACATTTTTCCCCACTCCCCTTTCTCCCTCCCTTTCCTATCCTCCCCATACTCACCCCCTCCCAATTTACTTAGGAGAGCTATCTTTTTCTCCTTCCTTAGTAGATCCATGTCTCTCTTAGGGTCCTTTTTGTTGTCTAGATTCTCTGGGATTGTGGAATATAAGCTGGTTATCCTTTGCTTTATGTCTAATATCTGGTTATGAGTGAGTACATATTATATTTTTCTCTCTGTGTCTGGGTTACCTCATTAGAATTTTTTTTTCTGTTTCTGTCCATTTGCTTACAAATTTCAAGATGTCATTCTTGTATGCAGTACAATGGATTCTGTTTTTATATCTAATTTGTTAGTCTGTGTCTTTTTATAGGTGAATTGAGCCCATTGATATTAAGGGATATTAATGACCAGTGATTGCTAGTTCCTGTCATTTTTACTTTTGTTAGTTGTGGTGGTATTGTGTGTGCGGTTCTCTTCTTTGGGATTTTCTGGTGTGTGATAATCTATTTCCTGTGGTTTTGTAGGTGTACCTTGAGTTGGAATTTTCCTTCTAGTACTTTTTGTAGGGCTGGATTTGTGGATAGGTATTGATTAAATCTGTTTTTGTCATGGAATATCTTGCTTTCTCCATCTATGTTGCTTGAAAGTTTTGCTGGATTTAGCAGTCTGGACTGGCATCCAGTCTCTTAGTGTCTACATAACTCCTGACCAGAGTCCTCTGGTTTTCATTCTTTCTATTGAGAAGTCAGGTGCAATTCTGATAGGTCTGCCTTTATATGTTTCTTGGCTTTTTTCCTTCGCAGTTCTTAATATTTTTTCTTTATTCTGTATGTTTAGTGTTTTGGTTATCTTGTGATGAGGGAACTTTTTTTTTGTCCCGTCTGTTTAGTCTTCTATAAGTTTCTTGTATTCTTCTTTTAGGTTGGGAAAGTTTTCTTTTATGATTTTGTTGAGTATATTTTCTGTGCCTTTGAGCTAGACTTCTCCTTCAATTCTTACTATTCTTAGGTTCAGTCTTTTCAT